TGAACACAGAGAACTTCGAGAGTCTTCAGACTAAGCTGTTTTAGTCACAATGGTTCGTGATAGCTTACACGCAACGTCACTGACGATTTCAACCCGCCGGTCGATCTCTTCCTCAAATTTTCACTCATTTGTAAACACGAGACACCCCCAGAGGAACGTGAACTTTAACTGTTCCATTGCCTTTTCGTTTATACGAACAGCATAACGAGCAAGAGGACGAAAAAATACAGAGCTTCTGCTTTAGACACGTTTACAAGCACGCCAACGATGTTACGCTCGGCCGTGAACCTTAACAGACAGTGCTGGAGATCAGTTTCAGAAGATGCCAACAAAATAAAATGGCCTGCAAATGGCAACCTTATCGTCTCCACATCTCCTATACCGATACATTGCCGTGGCTGCGCCTGACTATCGTACACATGTTCGACATAAACAGGAGTGATACAGAACGAAGCCTCGGCGGAGACCAGTGACAACGCTAAAAGGTCTCGATTTAAAGCCCTATTCGAACGCAGTACCTGCTATCATCATATAGTGACTGGATGGCCAGCAGAACTGGTCATCGATCCCATATGGCATGCCCACAAACTAATGCACATGTGCGGTCATAGGCTTTCTCCAGATCCAAAAAAAGGGGTAAACCGGATGACTCCAGTCATTTATTAACAGCGCGTAGCGCGGGCTTCAGCCTGCATGCTGTTCTTGTATTTTTGAGTGAGTTATTCCGCAGTACCTCCTTTCTAACTCTTTTCCGTAAACAGTTTCGGAAGGGTAAACAAAGTAATACCTCGATAGTTAGATCATTCCGTAGCCCCTATCCTTGATCAAGAGTACTACAATCCAATTTCTCCAGTTCACTGACGTCTTCCCGTAGCCACTACAGCCTGACAGACACCTGTTATCAGCATGCCTTTTTTATCTCAAGCTTTAAGCATCTCAAGACGCATTTCATCGATTCAAACAGGCTTGCCATTTTTCAATCTTTTTAGAGCTTCTGTAATTTTACTTACTAAAGGACCGAAATCCGTTAGCAGCTACTCTTCAGGCGCTGCGGTTGCTCATGGCTATGGAGTTCTTCAAAGCGCTCTTTAAATCGCTGAAGTATGTCTTCATCCTTTGTAAGAGGTCGCTCAGACTTGCCCTTCTTCAAAACTCTTAAACTGTCCCGCCCTTTTCCCATCTCAGAAGCAGGGGATGGTCTGCCTGAATACATTGTATGCGTTCTGGAAAATCAACTTCAAAGAATCAACTTTGCTTCTTGCCACTGCGTTCGCGTGCTTCTACATAATGTGAGCTGAAAGTTCTTCGCTTCTAAGCCACCTCTTAAACGCAACCTTCTTCTCGCTGACAGCCAGCCTGACCCCTCTTGTCTACCAAAAAGTTCGTTTCTGACCTCCAGGCGGCAGGCCAACCCGTTCATATCCGCAGCATTCAGCGGCAATCTCCAGTATGCCGCTCTTAAAGGGCTGCCACTTGGTTTCAACATCAGTTGTCATCACCGGGATCTGTTGTCGATGTTGTTTGCAAATTTCGCTCTCATGTCCACCAAAGATAATGTTTCCCATTTGATTCTCCGGTCGCTTCTGCCACCAGATCTTCGTATGGTACTCCATTTCTTACAGCGCAGCGTGCCAACAACAAGGTGATGA